GGGGGGGGGGGGGGGGGGCGTGAAGGGGGGGGGGGGGGGGGGGGGGGGGTCGGCGATGAAGGAGTCAGCCTCTCGCCCCTTGAGCTCAACTGCTGCCACTCTGCTATTTTAACCTTTGCCAGCACCCCACTGAGGACCGGGGCTCTCAGACTAGGCAGAGCGGAGGATCTCCCGTATCCGACGGTTGACCCCCCCAGTTGAGTCACAGGCTCCCTGGCAGGAGTCTGGCCCTTTAATTTTTTTTTGGGGGGGGGGGGCTTATCAGTGTGGCTGTTCTAACGGTCCCTTTCACCTTCACGGAGCAGCCCCCCGAAAACAGATTGACGGGGTGGTCCATTCAGCACAGCTCTGCCCAGAAAATGGCAAGGATTCAGTTACTTGACATCTTGCCAATGTTTATATAGTAGAAGTTCGATGTAGCCCTAAGGACCTGCTTTCTCTTTCTCTCTTCAACCACCACCCACCCCCCCCCCCCACTTTAAATCTGGTGTCAGTGCAGCAGAGCTGTTGGGTCTACCTCCTTCAGGGCACCGTCACTCTGATGGAAGCTCATTCAGTGTTTAGTCGGACTTATTTCGGGGCTTGACGGGGTCATTCGGAGAGGTGCTGTGTTTGGATACGTCGAGAAGTGTGACACGGGGGCATCAGTCCTGCATATGTAATGTAGAAGCTCCCAAACTTCTAATTTCTGATTAGAAACTAACTTTCCATCCCTGTCCTCCACCCCTGCTCTCCTCCTGGTTCCCCTTCTTTCCCGCTACTTGTTCTGCACGGCTTCCCGCTCTAAACCCCCTCTTGCTCTCCTCAGTCCGCAGTGTCCCTCTGTTCCCATCACCCTACTTTCTTCCTTGATGGGCCTGTTTATTAATCTGCCGCTTCTCCGCCGTGTACCAATGACACAACCGAAGCTCCGACTTTTTTTTTTTGTTGTTGTTTGTAGGAAAATGGCGCTCGTATGATTGCGGGTTAATCCACCCTAACGCTGCGAAATGCAGACTCTGTACAGTGCCGGACTTTGTTTTTCCAGCAGAGGGTAAAGTTTCAGTGTGTTGAAGGAATACCAGAAATCTGTTGATTTGGCTGTGTGGCATTTTTAAGTGGCTGGTGTAGCTTTTGAAGCGGCTTTTGGAATGTGAAAGGGTCCGTTTAAACATTAAGATTTAAAAAACTTTTGTTCATATTAGTCAATTTGGAAATATTGCGTTATGAAAAAGAATGTGAATATCTTGTGTATTTTGCAGCATCTGGTGTAATGCATGTTTGTTTTTTTTTGTTTGCTTTTTGTTTTAAATAATTTTTCCACTCCACCTCGCTGAAGGGAGAGCTTGGTCTCGGATGGATCAGTAATTTTAATGCAGTTTTGTCCTGCATTGATCTAAATTTCATGCTATTTTTAAATGCATATTTACATAAATCCAGTAAATAAAAGTATTGTGTAATATTTTGTTTGTATGGAAAATTGAACTAAACTACATTCATCTGTCATTCACTGGTTGAACTTTGTTTCAGATATAAAAAAAGATTTAACACATGGGTGCAATTAGTTAAAATATTAGAGATGTGGAATTACCAGATAATATACGGAGCTGCAGAATTAAATTTTTTGTTCTCAAGCATTGGCCAGACAAACTTCCTTTTATTATATGATATATATTTTTCCTGTGGTTTGTAGGTTACAGAATTTCTCATTATTTGTGACACCGGTTAGCCAAGTTCAACTGAAAACAGAAATATACACATATATAAAATATAGACGACTGATTTGGGAAGTGCCAGTATCAAAATTTGAGTTTGGTCTCCACGCTGGAGAGAGACCGTAAGGAACGGCATCCTGCTGCTTTGTTCCTGAGCTGGTCCACATTCCGCTCAGACCAATCAACTCCTGCTTAGAGATTAGTTTCTGTCCACCAGTATCCCAGTATCAACTCGTCCACTCTGAGAAATTAAACCATTTCCTATGAAATTTTGCTTCTTTCGCCAAAATGAGTCTGTATGCTTGGACTCTGTAAAAGGTTAAAAGGCGACACGGTGTGTAATTAATAAATGTGTACAAAGTCTTCTGTTGACTTTAGATACTAGCCCCACCAGACTAATACGTAGTATCTCTTCGGTTATAAAAAATGAAGAATGCGAGAAAATCCTGTTGACACTCATCTGGGGCCCAGCCTGACAGACTGGGCACAGGGCAGAATATCAGCAGGAACTCCACAAAGCGGCGCCTTTATCTTGAGAGCTGGTCCTCGGTGCTGTCGTCCTGAATTGCGGCTGCCCCGCACCCCATCCCACGCACCCTCCCACATCACCTCCTGAGGCCCGCTGTTTGTCAAAGCCACCATTAATTTCGGTGGGGGGGGGGGAGTGTCCGCTCCCTAACAGCTGTAGAGGAGTTTGCGAAGGATTTTTGTGGAAAAATCACACTGATATTTTACTCATAACTTCAGTGAAATACACTAGTTATTTTGTCTAGCCTACTTATATATTGTGTGTGTGTGTGTGTGTGTGTGTGTGTGTGTGTATGTATGTATGTATATATATATATACATACACACACACACACACACACACACACACACACACATACATATATATATATATATATATATATATATATATATAT